CGTGGTGGCAGGAGATGCCAGGCTAGAGACGTTTATCCTGCACATGACCCCCGCAGTCTCTGCAAGAAGGGGCCTGCCTCACCCCATGTCTAGGACAGCAGTGGAGTGCTCAGCCCTCTCTTCAAACAGCTTTTGCCTGATGGAGAGCAGAACACCACTTGTCTGTTTGCTGCTCTTTTTTAACTGAAGTGAGAGGCGAGATTAAACAACATGTGCCATGTGGAGGCGAGAGTTCTCACTACTGGTTTGTTAGGGGTTAGTTGCACTAAGAACAAGGTTTCAGAAATCCTTTTATAGGCTGACAGTGCACTTCTGTTGCTTACCCACAAACCTCTAACCTCTCTCCTCTTTTTTCCAGACCGACCATACAACTTTCCATTTCATAGTAATCATAAATTGAGAACCTAAACTATTTTAGTATGAAACCCAGATGTGGTGACTGCTCCAACATTTAAGTACTCTTGCCCTTCCCTCTGGCACTCCTTTCCCGATTTTCATTTGTAAAAAATTGGAAGGTGGCAGCTATTTGAGCAAAAGAAGGCTTCTTTGTTTAGGTAGATAGCTTTGACAATGGAAACCCTGAGGGTTTTAAAATATTTTTGCTTGGTATGGACAGACTATCATTACAGGCACTTGTAACTGATCTGGAATTTTGACTTGCATTATTTGTAATTATCATTGTCATAACTATTTATGAACACTGCAGGGTTTCTATTACTATTCATGTGCTGAACTAGAGGAGTCTTTTCACTGTGTGTTCCAGTCGGTGCTCTGCTAAGGTCCGTTTTTTTAAAGCCCATTTTTAAATGTCCCTTTTAGAGTTTCTCTACAGCTTTTCATTTTATTACTGATCCACTTGACATTTGGAAGCTACCTGCACTGGCAGAAAGTCCCCACAGTTTAAGAAAATTGTAAATGGAGAATCTGGTTTTAGAAGAAGTAACTGGTACCTCTTTACTAATTTTTGTAGTGGGTGGGTGAGTTTTTGACATAATGAAGAGTAGCCAGTCAGGTCCTTTGATTTAGCTAGTAAAATATACTGACGTGTTATTTAGTGAGTGAAGTCCTTAGCTCATCAAGTTCTCCTTTGATCAGGTTCACCCTCACAGCCAGTGACCTTCTGAGCTTCTTAGTATTTTGTTGTTTAAATATGCTATCACCCAGGCGCCTGGGTGGCTCAGTTGGTTAAGCGACTGCCTTCGGCTCAGGTCATTATCCTGGAGTCCCGGGATCGAGTCCCACATCGGGCTCCCTGCTCGTCAGGGAGTCTGCTTCTCCCTCTGACCCTCTTCCCTCTCGTGCTCTCTATCTCTCATTCTCTCTCACTCAAATAAATAAATAAAATCTTTTAATAAATAAATAAATAAATAAATAAATAAATAAATAAATAAATAAATATGCTATCACCCAACCAACCTTTACCAGCCTCCTGAAGCATGGTGTTGGGTATGGCAGGAATGCTTAGGAAATGGAGGCAGATACAATTTCAATTTATTTTTTTATTTTTTTTATTTTTCTTAAGATTTTATTTATTTACTTGACAGAGAGAGGCACAGTGAGAGAGGGAACACAGGCAGGGGGAGTGGGAGAGGGAGAAGCAGGCTTCCCTCGGAGCAGGGAGCCCGATGTGGGGCTTGATCCCAAGACCCTGAGATCATGACCTGAGTGGAAGGCAGATGCCTAACGACTGAGCCACCCAGGCGCCCCTACAATTTCAATTTTACATTGACACAGAAATATAGTTAACTCTTGGTCTACAAAAGAGGAGGGCTTCGAAGTGGGATGTTCCAAGGAGAATAGTTCTCTGCGCGGCTCTGTTTCAGTATTTGTTGTCATTTTGAAATGGAGGTGTTTTTCTTTATCATCTGCTGGAAGATTGAACCAGAAGCATATTAACTTTTTCTTACCCTTGTTCATTCTTGCCTTTTGATGTGAAAGACAAATTTTTATTAGTCTGAAAATCCTTTTGAAAAGTTCTTATAGCATTGTTAAAAAAACTTATGACATTCATTTTTGCTTTTCCCTTATAAAATTTCACCTAGACTTTGAAAGATAAATGTTAGCTTTGTCAAGTGGACTCTCTCTTAACATCTCTGTTTAGAGTCACAGACCACCTTATTGTTTGCTAATGTACTGTGTTTTCACAAGACACCTAGGATGTCATTAGTGACATTGTCTAGACTAAGACGCCTCCACATTATTCCCTAAAATACTCCTAGGCTCAGAGAAGGCCAGCGAACAGCTACCACAGTTTGCAGAGTTCTGATCAAAAAGAGGGCTAATGATGACATCATTGGATTCTCAAGTTTTATATTAAAGATTCGTGTAAAATGTAAATTTTGATCCGTAGTGTATTTGTACTTTCATTCATCCTGTGTCCTCATGTGTCAGACCTGTGCTGGGTGCAGGGAGACAGTGGGAGGCAGATTTACAAGGCCCTTGCTGAGGAAGAACTTACATTCTAGAAAGAAGGTAAAAATGAGGGGCTGTGAGAGAGAATAATAAGATGCAACATATAGGATGGTCAGGGAACTCCTCCCTGAGAAATTGACATTTAAATTGTGACCTTCACAATTAAGCTGTGAAGAGTTGGGGAGGGCCAGTGTCATT